CAAGTGTGAAGGAGCCTGGCGCTGTACACAGGAAGAAAGCGCCAGGTCCAGACATACACAGACGAAGAGGAGGGAATCAGACGAAAGGAGGGAGAGAGATGGGAATGTCGTCAACACCAAGTCTTTGTCACAAGTCCCAAATAATCCCTCGTTGTACTGTCTGAAGTCCAAAAGTCGAGTCTGGATCCGATGTCACCAAGCTCKGTCTCTCTTCTCTCGTAGTCTGCAGATGCAGTGAAGTCAGATGATGAGAGGGGGAGAAGGAGATGGTGGACTGAGAAGAGGAAGAAGAAGAACTCTCTCTCTCTCTCTCTCTGTTACGAGCCAGATACTAACTTGTGATGTTGGCGTTGTGCTGCAGGTACCTCCAAGACGAAGCTGGAGCAACGGCGCTGTAGGTGAGTACCCAAGGCCTCCGCCCAATCTCTCCCTCTCTCTCTCTAGTGCTATCCTAGCTATGGCGCCCAACGCTGGAGACTACAGCTACCTACTGCGCCCAGCGCTGAAGACTAAAAGCTACCGCTACTACTACTCCCTGCACCGCTCCCTCCAGAGTGCTGCTCCCGATTCCTGAAGACTACAACTGCCTCCTGCCTACCTCGTGAAGTGCATGGGAAGTTCCTATGTACTACCTCAGCCTGCCTCCTGACTGCCTGAAGGGCGAGCCAGGCCGAGGAGGCTACTCTTGCCGATGCCGAAGTGTGCCAGGGGCTGGCGCTATAGTAGCTGCTTGAGGCTGGCGTGGGAACAGGCTAAGAATAGCCTGTTCCCGAAACCCTGGTTCGGTGCCTGAGATTCAGGGCCGGTCGTTCTGATGAACGACCGAAAATGGCCCTTCGTTTCAGGCTAAAAAGGCTGTTGCCATTTTTAGTCTGAAACGACACAGGGACTGTAGGCCCTGGAATTCAGGCTTTCGGGCTGAACCGACATGGGGCCTGTAAGCCCTGGATTTCAGGCTTTCGACCTGAAGGACGCAGGGTCTGGAAAATGGCCCGCGTGTGCAGGCGCAGCATGTAACACGCCCCCCTCCTTATGAAGTCAAGTCGGGGCGAGGGCGAAGCCGACGATCTGAAGGTGGAACCTGGAGCGGGCGCGGCGTGGAGCCGAAGAAACCGGCTTGCCTTGCATCTTGCGTTCGTAGAGTGCGAGGAAGTCTGGAGCTGTTGCTTGAAGCTCTGCACGGGTCAACCAACGGTCAACTCGGTGTGTACAATATGCAAAATGCACCAAATACTCGGTTGGCCTGTTGTCGTAGCGTCGCTGGGAGATGATGTAGCCGACCTCCTGAAAACCGTCCATAGAAGGTGGGTCTTGCGAACGTCTCCCAGGAAAATTGTCATGTTCCGCTGGCCTGTATAGAGCCAACTTGGAGCAATGAAAGAGTGGGTAGACGGGCAAGTGGCCGGGCACCTGAATTGTGAAGGAAGGTCCCTCGGGTGCGTTCCTAGCGGGCGCTACGATCGGCCAAGGCCCCATCCATTTCGGGAGGAGCTTGCGAGAGATGTCTTGTTCAAGGCTGAATTCCGCTGCGGAAACCCATACGAGGTCGTCGACGCAGAATGGGCAAGGAAGACGCTGGCGATTGGCCTGCTGGCTCATGCGCTGCTGCGTCTTGGTCATCTGGTCGCGTGCCTTGACAAGAAGCTCTTGCATCCGACGCAAGAAAAGAAGATGGTCGTCGCTTTCGGCCGTTCGTGGAGTAATAGTGTCCAACGGTGAAGTGACCGGCGAGCCGTGCTCGAACTCAAAGGGCGACATCCTGATAGCCGGGTGGATAGAGGAGTTGTAGGCCAACTCGACATTCGGCAACCGCTCAACCCAGTCCTTCTGGTCCGGACGAATGAGAGTGCGAAGGAGAACCTGTGCGGTCTGGTGCGCCTGTCTCCGTTTGGCCATCGGTCTGAGGGTGGCGAGCTGAATTGGACTTGAGAGATGAGCCCCATTGCTTGATGAGTGCCAACCAAAAATCGGACATGAACTGGGTATCTCGGTCGCAGACGATCTCCTTGGGGTAACCCTTGGTTCGAATCCAACCGGCGTAAAGAACCTTGGCCAACTCCAGTGCCTTGGCATGATAGCGACAAGGCAAGAACATGGCGAACTTGGTGAGTCAGTCGACCACCGTGAGAATCTCGTCCACTCCGGTCTTGTGCTTGGGGAACGGGCCGGTGATGTCCATGGCAATCGCTTCCCTTCGCCTCAACGGGACCGGTAATGGTCTTAACTCGTCGTACGGACGATGGTTGCGGGATTTGCAGCGTCGGCAAACCTCGCATGACTCGCAATAGCGCGTGACGTCGCCGAGAAGGCCGGGCCACCAAAATCGCTGGCGAAGTCGGCCAATCGTGCGATTGACTCCAAAGTGTCCGGTGGCGGGAGCATCGTGGAACTCGCCAAGAAGCCGTGTACGCAAGTGAGGGTCACTCGGTACGCAAAGGAGGTCCTTCCCCCGCGTGTGGACAAGCAAGTACCCCTCTTGGATCCGGTAGTGAGAAGGCGCCGGATTAGGAGAGGAGCAATTCGCGTACTTGTCGCGAAACTCGGGGTCGGCTTGGTAGTCGCGGATGAAGCTGTTGCGCAGGTCATCGTCGATCTCGAAGGTTGAGTAGACCGCGGTACAATGATCCGGACGCCGTGAAAGAGCATCCGCAAAACGGTTCGACTTTCCGGGAATGTGATCGGGGAAGAAGTCGAACTGATCGATGAAAGCCATCCATCGAGCGATGGTGCTGTTGACGGTGTCTTGGGTCTTGTAGAAGACCAATGGATTGTTGTCCGTTACCCATCGGAATTGGCTTCGACCAAGGAGGAAGTGCCGCCACCGCTTGAGCGTGTGGACGAAGGCGAGGAGCTCCTTCTAGCGTGCATCGCCAATGGAATGCACGATGGGCACTTTCTTGCTGAAATACTTGACCGGGTGCCAATCAACACCATCATGTTGCTCGAGGACTGCACCAATGCCATAGCCTGACGCATCCGTAGTGACGCGCGTAGGCAAAAGCGGGACGTATATCCGCAAGACCTCCACAGACAATAGCGCGGCTTTGAGAGCCAAAAATGATTCCCACGCCTCCTCCCCGAAGTCAAACGGCCGATCCTCGCATTGAAGCTTGGTCAAGTGAGCCGCGATCTTCGAGTAGCCTTTGATGAAACGCTAGTAGTAGCTGGCAAGGCCAAGGAATGAACGAACATCCGTGACGTTCCGAGGCTCCGACCACTCTTGGATGGCTTGAATCTTGTCCGATAGCGGACTGATGCCTTCCGGTGTGACAAAATGGCCCAAGTATTCCAGCTCTTGTCGGACAAATTCGCACTTGTCGCGGTTGGCCTTGTACTTGGCGCGGTGGAGCGTCTCCAACACTCGTCGAAGATGCCCGAGATGATCCTTCAACGACCAGCTATAGACGAGAATATCGTCTAAGTAGACCAGCACGAACCGGTCCAACATTGCACGGAACTCATTGGTCATTGCCGCTGGAAAGGTCGCCGGGGCGTTGCTGAGGCCAAAAGGCATGACCACCCACTCAAAATGCCCGTACCGCGTCATGAACGCGGACTTGTAGCGACCGTTTGGCCGGATCAAGATTTGATGATATCCCAATTTCAAATCCAACTTGGAAAATACTTTGCGCCGCCCAGTCGCTCAAGAAGATCGTCGATGCGAGGAAGAGGCCCCGCATTCTTGACGGTTTGCGCGTTGAGCTTGCGGTAGTCGATACACAATCGTAGATCCTTGTTCTTCTTCCGGACGAAGAGAACTGGTGCTCCATATGGGGAGCTGCTAGGGCGGATCCAACCGTTGGCCAACAAATCGTCGAGTTGTGCGCGGAGGACCTCAAGCTCCTCCTCGCTCATGTGATAGATGCAACCTTTCGGCGGCACGGCACCGGCCTCAAGAATGATCTCGTGAGAGATCGACCGATCGAGCACCACACCGGTAGGTGACTTGAAGATGTCGGCGAACTCGTCCAGCAACCGCACCACCCGGGGGTCCGAAGACAAGTCCGTGGGTGAAGCGTTGGCTACCGCGACGGTCCGTAGGAAACATAGGCCGATCTCATCGGGCTGCTCGTAAGCGGAAGTCGCCCTGAATGATTTGGCCGTCACTACTTGGCACCGAATCGAAGGGTGCGGTAGAGGAATACTACACGCCACTTCCGCGTCGAAGGCGTCACGAACGCTAAGAGTCCGCAGGTGGAGGTTGACCGTGTGATCCACACTTGCAAGCCAAGGCATTCCCAGAATGATGTCGAAGTCCGTGTCGAGAATATCGAATGTCACCGGTTCGCATGCATGAGGTGCGAAGTAGACCGGTACGGCCTCGATGTAACGGTCGAGAAGTTGCTGCGTTTTCCCATCCGCCAACTTGATCGCCGTCGGGTTTGCCTTCCTCCGAACTTGTGCGCCAAGGCCAGTCCTTTGCATAAAGGATTGGCTCATGAAATTGCGAGACGCGCCGCTATCCAGCAAAGCGATGCAGGACGCTTGCCCAACCTGGATGTGGACATACATGAACGGTGCGTTGTTGTCATCGTACTGCTGCGTGCGAAACTCGCGGGCCACCTTGGTAGTATACGCAAGGATGTCCCCCACCGCGACTTCGTCTCCCGTCGGCGAAGTTGGTGGTGCATAGAAGGATAAGTAAGTGTGGAGATGAGCGCACAGTGCTGCACATTGCGGTCCCGGCAAGCGGCCCGTGGTCGGGAGAGGAAGCCATGCAAAGTCCTCCGACGTGAGCGGGGCCAATACCTCTATGTTGAACTCGCTCGTCGATTCCCTAAAGCACCACTTGAAGACGATATGTCGCCACTGCCGGACGGAGAAAAAAAACGCACACACTTCTTGTCCTTGAGCTTGAGTACCCGGCGTAGGAACGAGCCCGGCAGCATAGTCCTCAAAAGAAAGTAGAAGAGGAGGACTATCGACTTCCGCGTGCGCCTCGGAATGAAGGCCGGTTACTCACGAAGAAACCGGTTCCGGAGGCGTCGAGAGTGTTGTCATGTCACTATCGGCGGTGCTCAGTTTCCCTGTTTGACCTTGCCTTTCAATGGGCAGACCGGTGTCTGATGCAGATCACTGTTGCACCATAGGCAATAGTGGAATCTCGTGTGCGCCTTGAATGCTAGCTCGGAGATGCCGTATTGGGTCCAAGGGGCTGGAGCTGTTGCGTCGGGCCCGGGGCTAGATGCGGTGTTTGTCTTCGCCTTGCCACGTCCTCGGCCTCTACAAGGGCGGCCACCTTCCCGGGCGGCTGCGAGTCTATCTCCTTCACTGGCAGACACAGCCTCGCTGGTTTGGTCAAACGACGTTGCTGCCGCGACCACGGCCACTCTAGGCCGATGCTGGTCCCTGCTCGGGCATGCCGCAGACGAACACAGATTCTTTGCCTCCTTGTTCATAATGATGATCTGCGCGATCTTGTCAAAAAGTTCCGCCGTCGTCGTCAAGGTGTCCTCGACGTGAGTCAGGGCATTACTTAATGCCGGACAGAACCTTGAGATGAAGTAATGGCGGATGGCTTTGAAGCCCATCTGGATGTCTAGGATTGACGTCAAGCGTTGGTACTCGGGGATCCAGTCGGTACTTGGCAGCGCGCCTTGTTCGAAGACCATGAGCTTGTCCATAGCTTTGATCTCCGGCGGCTCAACCTGGAACCACTTGTGCCACGCCGCCTTCAGATCATCCCAACTGATCTTGGTGTGCATGTCGGCAGCTACCACTCCATACTTGGACAAGAGATTGTCCAACCAAGCCTGGCACGTGCCCCCTGAGCGAAAGTACAAGTATGCGTGGTGCTTGTGTTCTTTGACGTTGTGGAGCTGCAGCGTGAGCTCGAACTTGCGGAAACATGGAATCGGATCTGTCTTGATCGAGTCGCAGAAGATCTTCTGCCTGTCAAACTTTGGAGCTGTCTCGCGCGGCTCCGAACTCGAGGTATTGGCGGTGGTACAGATCCACTGCTGCAACTGTTGCGTCGCGGTCTGCTGTAATTGTGCGCCGTCCTGGAGGGAGCCGACGTGCATCTCCAATGCTTCGAGGCGATCGGAGGTAGTGGAAGAGCTTGCATCGGGTGCGGCGACAGGTCGCTGCTCCAGCTGCTGCAGGCGGCTTTGTAGTTTATCTAGCGAGCCGTCGAGGTTGTGGATATCCTCCTCCTGCGTAATGCATGTAGCCAGGAGGTCTGTGAGATGCGAGAGGAGGAGAGCGATCTTGTTTTCGCAATCCTCCAACTTGCCATTCTCAGCCTCGGTCCGCCATTCCGCTGCCATTGTGAGCAAGGTCCGCTCTCCGCTAAATATCTTCTCACGACGTTGGTTCCTTTCTTCATCGGCAGCCCTTGCTGCTGCCTCGTCATGCTGGCGCTATTGTTGAAGTGCCAGCAGACGTGCCTGCTCGGCATCCTCTGCCTTCTTCTTCGCTGCTGCAGCTGCGTCATCTGCCCGTTTCTTTGTCTCGGTACTCCAAGCCAGCATCCGGGCCTGATAGGCCTTGTCTGCTTCACCGGGCCTCTGATCCATGACGGTTGTCTGTGACCGCAACATCATGTACCAGGTTGGGGGCCTGCTGACGTGGTCTGCTGACATGTTGCAATCAGACTCTCTTTATTCATCAACTTGCATGCATACAACAGATGGCAAACAGGCTGGCGCTAGGCGCCCACTCAAAACTCAGAGATATGGAAGTCGCGAACATTGTTCAGATGCAAACTTCGTCCCACAAGCTATGGCATACAGGCGCCCTGTACATCCGCTGTCGTCACTGTGTCCAACATTGTCGCACACACGCACTCCACTCTGGATCACCCTGAATACCCCACACGCGCACACTCACTGTACACACACACACTGCTACTACTAACCTGGCGGCTATGGCCGCCTGCTAACTCCACCACTAACAGCTAACTTCCCCTCTGCCCACTTTGACCTCGGGCTCCTGCAGACCACCTCGCACAAACGCTCGGGCAGTGCTTCGGCATGGCACCCCGCAGAATGAATGAATGGCTGGGCGCTGCCTCGTGATTTATACTTCTGTAGCTCGTTGGTCTGCCTCTTTCCACAGGGCCCATGGTGCACACAGTCCCTCATGGTACTTGATGACTGTGCAAAGTGAGACTGGGACTGGGTACCGCTGACTAAGCGAAGTTGGACGCACCACTTGCCCACTTGCCTTTGGCCGACTGTGTAAAACGTGAGAAGAAACTCGAAAGGCCACTTCCGGACCTTCCGGAAGCCTGTGAACTTGGCCTTTCGGGACTGTAGCACCTACGACCTGGCCTTTCGGGACTGTAGCAGCTACGACTTGGCCTTTCAGGACTGTAGCAGCAGCTACTACCTCGCCTTTAAGGACTGTAGCAGCTACGACATGGCCTTTCAAGACTGTAGCAACTATGACCTGGCCTTTCAGGACTGTGGGAGCTACGACTCCTACAACTTGCTAAGATCTCTGCTTGACAGGTCTACAGATCGAACCCCTACAACCTACAGACCCTACGACAACCTACCAACTGTTATGATTACGCAGGTCACGGTTTCAACTCTCGGGGTCGACACAGGTAAGGTAAAGTCTAGGGATCGAGCCCTGCTTGCAGGTGAATACCGTTTCACTCCCGCCGGCCTAAATTCAAGGTCCTCCGAGAATAACTCAGTCCAAGACAGGACCTTTACCTTTCCTATCTCTCTCGTAGGCTCTAACTATGTCGGGAGCTGTTTCTAGAAGTTCAGTTCTGGTAAACCAGCGGTCGTCTTCTGGTTCTTGATATGCAGATCGGATCTTGTACTGTTTCTGTGGGTGACCCCTACCTCCTGTTCTAAACACGTCTTCACCTACAATGCCGTCAATGTCGTACCTTCCATCCATGTCCCGAGGAATCATGGATCTTCTTGATGGAAACTGTTGACTTGTGAAACATGGCAACAACTTTGACGCATGAAACACGGGATAGGTGTGGAGGTGTGCTGGGATTTCTACTGTGTAGGACAACCCATCATCTCTGCCCTTAACTTCTAGAACTGGCCACGGTCCTCTGTACGACGGCAGTAACTTCTGCGAAATGTTTTCCTCAAGAGCAAACTCTTTAGACTTGACCCAGACTAGGTCGCCTACTTGAAATTGCGACGGGCGACGATGTTTGTTAGCTTGTTCTATCATTCGGTGCTGGGCCTTCCCGAGGTTCTCAACAACGATAGCTAACTCTTTCTCGTGCTGTACCGCAAACTCCCTAGTATCGGGCGGTAGCCTATGAATCTGATCCCGGTTAAGTCCCTCAAACAGTCTGCGTGGTCTAAAGGATTTGTGCAGCTCATTGGGAGTGCGACACGTGGCTACCTTGGGCAACATCTCATCCCAATTGACTTGATCAGGTCTAATGTACATCCTAAGAGCTTGCTGCAGGATCTTATTCATCTGTTCAGTCTGACCGTTGGTCTCTAGATGACGGCCAGATGACATCAGCAACCTAGAGCCATAAACTCTCATCAACTCCTGCCAGTTCTGACTAGTGAATCTGGTATCTCTATCACTAACTATAGAGAGCGGTATACCATACTCACTGACCCAATGATCGAAAAACTTCCCTATAACTAAATTTGTTCGTGCCTCTGAAGGCAAAGCAACAAAAACTGCATACTTGCTAAATCTATCGACTACGACAATGACTTGGCTCTTGCCATGCCTACTCTTTACCCCAGTATCCATGAAGTCAATGGACACTGAATCTCCGGGTCTGTCAGGAATAGGCAAAGGTCTGAGAAGACCTAGAGGGGCTCGCGTAGTGGTTTTGTTCCTCTGACACACTTTGCAACTGCGTACGTACTCTATGCAGTCAACTTTCATACACGGCCACGTATACGCGCATGAGCGGTTGGCTAAAGTCTTTTGCCAACCTAAGCGTCCCTCTGTGTCGTGACATTCCCCTAGGATCAAACTACGGATCTCCTCACTTTTAGGAATGCACAAACGGTCAACTACGTTAGTCTTCTCAAACAACAACCCATCAATAGTGCGGTAATGAGGTTTTGTCTCCGGGGCTTCCTTAACTCTCTTAAGGAGGTCGCTATAGATAGGATCTTGCGCATACGCTTCCTCGACTCTTTGCTGCAGGTCTGTTCCTATATCTAATGCACTATTGCCCCAAAGTAATCGGCTCGTCTACTCAGAGCATCCGCAACTACATTGTACTTTCCTTTCACTGGCTTGAGCTCAAAATCATACTGGTCTATCTCTGCGGCCCACCTAGTAAGCTTAGGTGTCATCTTGGCCCGAGTCTTTAACCACCTCAGCGTCTCGTGGTCTGAATAGACTTTGAAGTGCCTCCCAAGTAAGTAGTGCTTCCAATGTTCTAAGGCTTGCCTGAGA